CAGAATAGAGAAAGGCAAAGGGGAGCAAAGAAAGGTACCTGACCTGTAAGAGGGGCAGCTGCCATCATGTCCCTCACCGACAGAGAGGCAATGGGACTTGCAAGAGGCCAAGGAGTCAGCAAGGCCCGACACTTCATGAAAGGACACAGGTTAGTATCCAGTGGCCCACACTGCTCATCGCTCTCCTTTTCCGTGCAGGCCTCTACTCAATGAAGTTACTCACAGCTGCCTTCCACACACACACCTGGATCCTGAGTGGGAATAAGTGCACAGCAACTTCCCCCACATCTAGAAGCAATCAGATGGCACAGTGCAGCATCTGTGGGATGAGAGATGTCCTCCAGAGGTGCAGCTAGCCAGCTTCAAAAGCATAAGAAAAAAATCTAAATCCTCCTTCATTACAGGAGAAAGGGCCAGGTGTAGCAGCATCTGGAATTCCAGCCATCAGAGACAGTGTCTTGGCATTACGCAGTCATCCCCCTGCTTTAGACTCCCCTTGACAATTGCTTGTTGCTGCCTGTTGTGGCTTTGATCCAACGCCATCATCTCAGCAGAGTCAGAAATGAAAGACAGTTGTGGGGGTGGGATGCAGCAAGAGGCATTTCCTTTCCCCACTAAAAATTTCCTCGATGCCAAACCCAACCAAGCCCTTTTCAAAGCACAGGACATATTTACAGGTGAAGATATTATCCCCTTCCTATTGGAGGGATGAGAATGGCTGCCCCAGGGTCAGGGAACAGCGAAGGTCATAAAAACGAAACATACCATGACCAACAGCTACAAACACCAGCCAAGGACTTATCTGGCATGGAACTAAGATGATCAGTACACAAAAGGTTATTTAAGCTTTAAATCCTTTTGTAGTATGTTCCAGCTCTCAGCTGTTGGGGAAAAGAGACCACCTATCTCAAGAGAAGAGAATGGCATTGAAACTGCTGCACTGTTACTTACACACCCCCTGATGCAGAGAAAACCCAGCTAACTGAACTAACTGATTGCAGACAGTACTAAACATCTCAGTGGTGCTAAGGATCCTGTGGTTTTAAAGAACACATCTTAAGCATCATTCTACTTTGCATAATTTTTTTGACAGAAGTTACCCACATTCTGCACTTAGAGATCATGTCCTTGCCATGTTCAGCCTCTATGGGTCAACCTCTGGGCCTTTGTGACCACAAGGAAGGAGTAAGCAGCAAACTCAGAGAGCTTGGCTCTGTCTGCCAGATGTTATTAGGACACATTGGGCACAGAATGAGTTTTTTAAGTCCTGAGTGCCTCTAAGATTTCAAGTTTTCATGCCACACTCTCACTTCTGGAGTCTGACCAGGTAGACAACATGCAAAAGCCTCAAAGGAAGAGATAGCATTTCCTGTGAGATTGCTTCTGGCAGCCACCGGAGCCTTTGAAAATGGATCAAAAGCTCTGCTGGGAAGAAGAACAGTTTATGGAGAGGCAAGACTCAGAAGGATAGCTCTGTACTCCCTCGCTATGAATGATCACATCAAGCTTCACGTGATAGTTTCCCAGCCATGCTCCCTATTCAGTCTCCTGCCCTGCACATGCTGATGAGTCCACCAGCTCACAGAGGTCCCTGGAGAGGAAAAGACCCAGTGGCATGGTGCATTCCAGCTGTGACAGGTGAAGAGGGAAAAATAAGTTTGACACTCCAGCCATTGCAACAGAGGCCCAGTGGCCTAGGTTGCCTTGGCTTTTTTATTTGCCTGTCACTCAGGCTTTTACGTTATTGAAAGATCAAACTCCGTTGTGCTTGTTCATTACCTTAATCCTATTTTCTACACAGCTTTATTATCTCTTCAGGCTTCCCTGGGAATGGCTGTCAGAACAGCTGGGGCAGGAGGGAGAGGGTTGCCCATCTCCTCACTGCTGGCAGATGCCTCTATTCAAGATCAGCCAGAAGACTTGATGGGCAGGGGTATCACAGCACAGCCTCCATCTTTCTGGGGTACTCCAAAGCACTGTTGGACTGGGTCACTAAGAATCATGCACCATTAGCTCAGTGCACTGGGCGCTCTCTTCCCTGCTCCACCTTATCCTCTGTAGGATGCATTGTTTGCAAAGTAATTTTGTTACTTCAGAGAAAAAACAACTGGTTTAAATTTGTATTTGATACAGCTGACTTAGATAACCTAATCTATTTAAACTATAGATTAGAAGGCATTTGGTCTCAGACTTGCCCTGAGACCTGCACCAATCCTCCTCCACCTCCTTTCCCCAAATACAGCTCTGCTCACATCCCTCAGGCCCTTTCTGCCATTGCTCACCTCAATCCTCACGGCACTCCTTTGGATAATCTGTGCTGTGCCACTCCTACCCAGAGCATACCAGTCCTGGAAAGCTGAGCTGCCGTTCCAATAATCCTGCCAAATATTTGCTACCTGTCCATCACCACACAAAGACCCCCAGGCTGAGAGTTTCAAATTTGTCAGCAGTTGAGTCTCACGTCAAGATTTGAGATCAACATTTCCCCAGTTGTTAAGGTCAGCACCTTCCCCAAAAAGGAACTACTCAAAGGCCCCAAATCCGAGGCCACAGCAATTAACCTCCTCAGTGTTTATTACGACAGAGAGAAGACAACATGCCTAAGTCACTTCCACAGATAACCTGCCCACACCTCACCTCTCTGAGCTACCAGAATTGCCAGCCAAGACAAGATGACTGTAGAGCCTGTGTTTGCCTCTGGCTTCTGAGCACAACAAAGAAGGGGGTGATGGGAGAATAGGTATCACCTTCCTCACCCCTCTGGCTCAGGCTGAGGCATCAGAGACAGATGGAAAGGAAGGTGTAATGGGTATATTCTGACTGTACAGGGGTAATGGGAAGAAATCACGATGGCTGTGCCATCAACTGGAAAAGCTGGGAAGAAAAGTCAAGTTGCTCCCTACTGAACCAGAACCATATACACCTTTCCATACCAGTTTGTTCTGTCCCCCACTATGTCACAAATCTCAAGTTTAAATATCCCTTGCCTACATGAACTAAAGGAATGATTTTGCAGCATTTCCAATGTTGCATTTCTCATTGTTATTCACTTTTCTCCTTAAATCCCTTCCTGTAACCTGGAAGCTCACTCACCTCTCAAGGTCCCAGATTCTCAGAGGTGAGGTGTGTCCACAGCAGGCTGTCCCCGTCACAAATGAGCTGTTTAAAGAAAACAAGCAAACAAAAACCACTTACTAATCCTCATGTTCTGAAGAAACAGTGCATGAGCAAGACAGAAAACAGGTTACAAGACAGACTTCAAATTCTAGTTCAAGACTATCTCAGCGTGTCCCACAACATTTCACAAGGGACAGGCAGCAGTAGAGGTGCTCCAGAGCTCTTAGTAGCTGAGCTTCCCAGATGCAGCAGGTCACAACTGCAGAGAACTGGCAGGACACAAAGACGCATTTGTGGGAAAACCTGACAGTAACAGCCATAAATTGCAATGACATCTTCAAACAAGTCAGTACAGTACTCAGCATGTTTCATACACTATCAGTGCTGTAAGCTGCAGAAAGATCCCATGGAAAATTCCCTGTTACTTCCTACTTCACACCTTTCTTCTGTTTGTTGACAGCTTTTGAGCACAATCATGAATTGGCTGCAGCATTACAGGCCTAAAGAATCACAGAATAGATTTGGTCCAGCCTGCTCAAAGCAGGGCCAATTTCAAAGCTGGATCGGGTTGCCGTCCCCAGTGCTCAAGCACCCTCTGTTAGAGGCAGCACAGCTCTCCTGCAGCAATATTTGGCTCAGTTCACACTCTCCAGCAGTGTCCATTCCAAAGTCCTCTAGGCGATGCTATGTCCCTGTTGCGTACGCTGGCTCCAGAGGTCACTTAACAGCCACTGGCTTCAAACTAGTTCACAAGACAGGAACAAATCCTTAAAATCAAGCATCAGGAATGTGGGTGCTATGGCTCTCCAAACCACACTGCTTGTTCTGTGCCAACTTCCTATCCTCAGCCCAAATAAGAGAAAGCAGCTCTTACAAGGATTTCTAGGTAAGCTATAAATGACCTCTCACAAAGCCACATTTATTGCAGCTCCCAAGAATAAACTGCCAAAACTATGTTTAAGTCAATAAAACAAGGATAGCACAAATGCAGGAAATGGAACTTGCTTTAAATGAAAGCCATCTCTCTGCTTTGCCTAAACATCTTTTGCTCTATGACACAGGGCTGGCAGTTGAAAGATGAAAGCAAAATAAGAAAACAGTGTCATATCTGTAAAAATAGCTGTTACAGCAGTTTTGAAACATTTCTTTGATCCTCTACAGCATTCCTTTGGAAATCAAGGTGTCTCCAAGCCTCTACTGCACCAGGAATGGATTCTTGCAGCATCTTTGACTTCTGTGAGAAGCACTACTGCTGGTGTAACAAGGCACTCAGCAGCCAAAGGGTAAACACGGGCTCAACTCTATCAAAGCCAGAGAAGGAAGCAAGACCAAAAGTCAGAACCCCTCTACTCCTATCTCCGTGATTTAGCTGAGCAATTAGTTCCTCCAAATCATAAGGCCAAAGCAGCACTGCCAAAACACTCTGCAAAGGAGGTAAGCAGTAACATCAAATAATTTCAAAGAGTTACAGGAACCTAGGAAGAGCTTCAGCTACCAAGGCTCACTTTTGTGCTGGCTCTATACTTCCTACCCAAACTCACATACCTGGAGGTGTCCACAAGTCCCGTGACCCTGAGCTGCCCTTTAGGGCTAGGAAAGTCCTGCAGCACCAGAGCTATTTCAAAGTGTTTCCAACCACGCTGTCTTACATGCAAAATCCCAGGTTCATTGGCAGTGCACATGCAATCAGCCAATGCACCTGTAGCACTGAGCACTCCCTAGAGGTGCTGCAGGGTGCACACATTATTCTTCCCCACAGAAATCCCTGACCAAAGTCTAAATCCAAGGAAAAGCCAATTCCAGTTGTTGTGCAGCAGCCACTAGGATAAATTAAGAAAGTGTGCAGCATTTCATCTTTGGAAACAGGGTTTCTCCTCAACGCCTGCCTTCTCTCCACCATAGTGCAGGACAAGAAGGAACACTTCCCTTTTTGCCAATGTCTCCTATCTCAGAGGAAAACAAGCAAAAGACACCCACTTTGACAGCTCGTCAGTCAAACCCCATGTCTGGAAAGCAGCTCTTTGGTCAGGGAGTCCCTCAGCTACAAAGATAGGTGTTGAGTTCTGTCCCCCCTCCCCAAACATAATCCATTAATAACTACTAAAGCAAATTACTGTGGTTAGAAACATAATAGCAGTCAGGGAGTCAGTCAAGCAGGCAATTGGGTGCTTAAGATTTTTTTTCTGGGGGACAAACTGACTCTCTACCAGAAGTGAACACCCTCATGTGGGAGACAGGCCCCTTTGTGCAGAAGGTATGCACAAGGCTTTGATGGTTGCCACAGGCCTAAATTAGCATGGAGGCACACCAACAGGGAGAAAAAGGTGGGAGGAACAGCAAGGTCTAATCCCCGCTCATGCTGTCAGTTCTGGACTTCAGCTTTCCCTCCTCGGTCCTTACCCCCCACCCCTCAAAAAGAAAAAAAGTAAAAAAAAAAAGAGGAAAAAAAAAGCATTAGATAAAGAGATTTCTCTCCACCATGGAATACAGGCCTCAGGGCCACAAAGAAGTCTCTTCTGGGTAAAGCTGACTCCATTCAGTCAACAGGAATTTTGTCTCCTACTTCAGCAGGATCAGGTTTGCAGGCCTTATCTTTAACAGCCTGAGCCCATTAGCAAGCACAGATAAGACTTCTCCCAGAAGAGCAGGCCACCTTCACTGCCAGCATTAAAACACAGCATTCACAAGACAACATGCACAAGAAGTGGTGCCAATGAGAAATTCTCAAAGCCTGAGAGTGAACTAATCTTAAAGTCTGGATTCCAGGAGATGATACAGGGCCCCTCACCCTCAGTCTGATCTGCAGACATATACCTTTAAGCCCCAGGCCTCTCAAAATTGGGAACCTGGCAGAGGCGACAGTTTTACTCCAAGCAAAAGGGCAACACAAGTCAGCCTTGGCAGGTCTAAAACAACATGCAGATTAGAAGTAAGCATGTAAAGGTTGGCTACAAAACTTCTGAAATTTCAGTCAGCAGAGCTGAAGCTTTCTATCAGTGGCTTGCTTCTTTCAGTGCATCTCAAACAAGGCTCTTACATCTTAGAAAGCACAGAGCACACACAGGAAAACCTCTGACTCAGAGAAGCGCAGCTTCTTCACAACTGTTGCTGCAGGCTGCCCAGGAGAAACAACTCAAGCTGAGTTACTAGCATAGAGAGTGCCGTTTATATTGCCTGCAATGCTTTCTGGAGTCAGAGAGACTGAGGAGAGACTAGATTGGGAAGAGGGGAGCACAGGATACCCTATATATATTAATGCAGGTATGACCTATCCATCTGAAGTATATACAATACTATTAATATACACTGACACTGATCAGATGCACCTACGTCCAACATAAAACTGCTATGCTCAAGCTTCAGATGGCCTTGGAGATGCAAAGCCCCTTCTCCTAAGCTTTTCTCTGTCCTGTGAAAGCTGCTGGGTACCGTGACTACAACCTCCCTCTAAAACGCCTTTCTAATGGGAAAATAAGCACCATTGCAGGACTTCCATAACAGGACATGTTGTCTTCACAGAGATACCCTAGCAGCTAAAACCAAACCAACATAACATTTCCATTTCTGCTATACCAGAAAGGCAAGGATTTTGCAGAGCATGAGACACATGTACTTCATACACAACATGTTTTTGCTGTCCAAAGCAAGGAATTTTCTAACTCATCTGATACTTCAGTGTTCTCTTTCTTATTTGAAACTCCCTACTGAGGAGAGGAAAAAACAAGAGAAAAAAAAAACGACCAAGAACCTGCTTCTCCAAAAGCCAGAATTTCTCTGTGCTACAGAAGAGATATTTCATTAGAGATCATTCCCCCACAGCAGAAGCTGGGCCAGGGGATGAGAGAGAACATACATCCTGGCAGTGCTGTTGGAAGAAACACAAGAACTCTCCATCTGACTGACTTGCGGTTGTTGAAGATCCCATGGCATTTCTGGCAGCATCAGTAGTGCTCTGGCTACAGTCCAGCTGCAATAATTCCATGTCCACTCCCAAGGTGCCAACTAGAGTTTCACCCATGTAGCATCCCTCTTTACCCCATCCTGGACAGAACATCGCCAGATGTGAATGAACCAGAGGGACAGAGGTAGATGCCCATCAGTCCCTTTTGGAAAGATGCTGTTTGTCATGAGGCTTGGAAACAGTCTCAGCTCCAGATATACAAATTCCATTGTACAACACATACTTCCCCCACTGTCAACCCAGGCTCCAGAGCAGGCCCTGCCTGAGCTGGGAATTCTGCAGTGTAAAGTCATTGAAGGAACCTGGGTGAAACAGGTCCTTTCCCACCTCTTCTCTCTAAACTTCCCCCATTCCCCAGGCTTGTGCCCTTCTCCTGTACTGTAAACAGATTGCTTCTCAAGTCCCATTCTGCTCTTCGGGGATTTCAAATCCAGAATCTGCTTGACACGTGCAAGAGTCTGTTCCTTCCTCCTGGCGCGCTCCCCCGCCCCCTGGAATTGGACATCGTTGTTCCATTTTGGAAACTATTATATGTGGAGACTCACTGGACTGGGAAACAAAGAAGTTATTACTTGACAGAGCCCTGCAGCTGGGAATGTGGAAGGTGGGGGGAGAGAAGGGGGAGAACTGAGGGGAAACAGGCTGGGGGGGCTGGTAGCAGTGTTATGAAAGCGATCAACAGAAGGGACAGCTCAAAGATGGGAAACATCTATTTTAAAAAGTCTCAAGTGAGATGAGAAAAGAAGGAGAAGAGAGAGCAACTCCAAAACGGAGATTGGAGAAGAGAGAGAGCAGTTGGTGCCGACGGTGCCGCGGGTTAAACACACGGGTCTGTGGGTTTGTGTAGCCTTTGATTCAGCACTGACACGCTTTGGCAAGGGAGGCCACCGGAGCTGTCAAATCCTTCACCAACGTGCCCATCAATTGTATTCAGCTCTCCCCGACCCGCACTGGCATTTTAATTACTGTTGGGTAAACTAATTTGTACAAATGAAGGCAACTCTGCCTAATAGAATATGCAAGCTCTCTGACCTCTGACAGGCGATGACACAAGATACAAAGGAGGCAGAGGAAGGCTTTT